ATGCTTCAATCGTCAAGCGGTTTAATGCAAGTTGGACGACCTGTGGATCGTCACCTAGCAAGACGATATCATCAGCATAATCCAAATCAACAACTCGACTACCTGGGAGGAGCTCAACGCCAGCGTTCAACGAATCGCTCAGAGCGTTCTTCAGGACATCCTCAATAGCAAAGTTGAATAGGAACGGAGAGATAGGGCATCCTTGTCGAACTCCACTGGAGACCACAAGGTAGGCGAAAGCATGCCATAAGCCCTAACCCTGCCCGAGGTCAGACTGTACAGAGCGCGCAGTATGGAGACGAACTTCTCGGGGACACCGTTCCTCAGAAGGCACTGCCACAGTACTGTACGATCGACAGAATCGAAGGCAGCACGGATATCCAGGAACACAGCAATCGTTGACCTCTGATACACATGGCGGAGCTCGAGGATCTGGCGAAGTGTGAAGATTTGATCGATGCAGCCGCGACCAGGGCGAAACCCAGCTTGTTCTTCTCGCTGCAACGATTCGCGTGTTGGGGATAGCCTGCGAAGTATGATGGACACCAGCAGCTTGCAACGACGGGGACTAAACTTATTCCTCTGTAGTTGGAGCAGATTGTGCGCAGGCCCTTTTTGAAGATGGGTACGACTATCGATTCACCCCAAGATGATGGAACCTTCTCTTTCGACCAAATTTTCGAGAACAAAACGGTGAGTTCTCGGACCAGCGATGCGCCACCATCTTTAAATAGAGCTGGGTGAAGACCATCAGGGCCGGGAGCTTTATAACGCTTCAGGCGCGTCTCATTGTATTCGCTTCCCGCCGGAACATGTGGACGCGCACCCAGAAGTTCTAGAGACTGCGTTGACACCCAATGTCTCGGTTAGCGATTTGATTTGCCACATGAAGACATGCCTGCTGTTACTAACGTCTGCCGGGTATGCGACCATTTATCTTCAACTGTGTTCAATGATCGTTTTCTCAGGTCAGATGCCAGTTTACTTTGATACGCATTCAGAACATCTGGCTTCGCCAGTTGGCGACTATCTATGCGCTCACTGCATCGTTGCGGAGGTCCACCGAAATGCACCAGTAGGTCGGCGCAAACAAGTTCAGGGTCAGAGTCCACGCTCGTGCTTCAAATCGAGCGTATCTGTTCTATTTTGCTGTATAGATCCATACCTAGTCTCCTTGGTCGGTTTCACATTGTCATGGTCTGTAAGGGTAATTAAATCGTTACCCCCGGATGTGAATTGAGCTGTCTCCTAAGTTCCCCACGACAATTGGGGTTCTTCATTTTTGTCCCATATCTGATTTCCTCTTCAACTTTGTGGTTGAAATGATCATGAATTACTCCGTTCTTTTGGACTTTTCCGGAACGGAGGTTCTGCCAGATAACTGACCGACAAACCTAGACTATGCGCGCAGCATAGCTCTCCTTGGGTCTGACTCTGGCTATGCAAACACGACTGGATAGGCTGATGCATAACGCTGCGCGCTTCGGCATATGCCTTGCATTTTAGAAATGCGAAGTATTGTTGCAGGACTAGACCGATACGCCACCGGATTTAGCTATCTGTGAACCGCTAGATACGTTGGATCGGTTCACTTATTATTGTAATTACGTCAGCTCTGGTGGTAACATCACGTATCAGCAAGACCAGTGTGGCTTTCCACAGGTTCAACCATCTATGGAGATAGCTGGATATCAGGCTGTCATTGAAAGGCAGGGTGTCTAACGCTGCGATGAGACCAGTGTTACTGTATCGATCAGAGGCCTGTCCAGTTCCCTGTGAAGACATTTATGTTTAAATGAAATCACAATTGTTCCTCTTGCATACCCACCGGTTTAATAGTGGGGCGCCGCGTCACTATGCTTGAACTACTGGATTTCACTAGAAGTGTGAATTTTCAACTCTCTCTTAAAGTGCAAAAACAATAATTAGACAGCAACTTGGAACGCAAATTTGTGGAATCCATCTCCCACTTCCTATGGTGTTCCATGAGTATGAGAAATTCGGTTCCATGATGGAAGCGCACACGAAAATGCGCTCACTAGAACATTCTAGTTCGGTCGTTTGGCACAGACTGGACTGCTCTATGTTCCAAAACCCCCTTGATTAATTCCTGCTACTCAACAGACAGACAACTGCTTGTCTACTGCACTTCACCCAATCTTCATTGGTTCGGCGGCTTTAACACACTTGGTATGAACAGAACGAGTCCGTGACTAGCTTTGCCTTGCTTTGTTGAGGTTGGTGGCCGCGTACTGATGTGCGGACCTTGGCCGGCAAAAAAATGAGATTAGAACACCTGTATCTAACCAATGGCACATAGAAGAATTCTTACACAGGAAAACGCTTTTACGAAAGATTTGTATCAGTCTGCTTGAGCGTGATGTGTAAATTTTTAATGTCACTTTCTTCATCCACTGTGCACATAGACGACCAATGCAACACGTTGTCTGTAAGTTCAAGTCGTTTTACTGAACCGAAACAGATGCCCGCGGTCGGGTCCCTGTTCCCGTTTCTTTAGACAGTATGGTTCAAAGATTCTGTTCACGATTCTTTTCCTCTGGATTGCTTAGGGCTTACCGCTATAAAATGTTCACGTGGAAAACACCCACTGTTACATTAATGCGTCATGTAGTTAACTGTTAATGAAGCATTTACGTTGAAATCAGTGGTTATATTGTATCGAACTTCTTAATTACAGTACGTATACAGGATTTGATTATACCAGTGATGCTTCCGATCTTCGCAACTAATTTTTCATGTGCGCGATTTTCATGTCCGCTTTCCGAGAAACTTATACGTAAGTTAAGTCTTGAAGCAATGACTTGCAGTCTGAAAGTGCTAGATTTACATCCATGGTTGCAGTTCCAGACTTCGGCTTATACGCACTCGATAAATCTGACTGGAATATTTGTTCGACCATTCATCCAACGCACCTTATGATCCGTATGGTATGTATGGTATTATCAGTAATGGTCTTTTAGTTGCGGTCGATAAGAGTGGCCATTTCTGCATTATCTCCTAACTTTTATGAGGCCTGAAAGTCAAGACGCACGGTTGCGGCTGTCCACTGGAATTCGCTCCACTTGACTAATTTCGGCATTTTGTTTTACGACGACACTGACATCGTATATCAGTCATAGACTTAACATCACCAGGAACGTGAACATAATTCTCCTTACTAGAGTTTACGGTAATAAATAACTAAATACGGTGTCAGCTGTACGTTGTAACGACGCTTCGCTTCCGCACGACCACCACCAGTCGCGCATGGGCTGAGCCTACCGCGAAGACGCCTGCCCATGCGCGGTTCTGAACCGGTGACTTTCTGATTGCAAGCCAGACGTGCGGACCAATCGGTTACCGGCCGACCTGAGATGAATTAGGACACTTATCTTACATGCGTGTTTCGGAAATGATGTACGTAAGGGAGCGCAAAGTAGTGACAAAATAATGCATTTGCAGTACGCCGTACTGACGCTTCGTTGCCACGCAACCACCACCAGTCTCTCGTGGGCTAAGCATGCTACGACGGTCGCCCGATCCCCTACGCAGGCCCGAATCTGCGAACGCCAGATTATAAGGTATACTTGTGATTTCTTCGCTCACGGGCCGGCAGAAGGATGATGAGGGCTGCTTTCCGGCCAATCTTCCACAGATCCGGTATGAAATGAGATCTTTGGTATGGAAGACGCTTGTGCTTCCTGATTTGTATGATTGATAAAGTCATACATGCTCTCTTGTTTACAGACTTTAGCAGAGAAGACTGACTCTAGACACAGCATTAGAGCCATGTAGGCTTACAACACTTTCCATTCCTAGACTGGGTACTCTTTCAAGAGTCCACATCCTGTCCATTGTCACAGTCCTCTGGGTCTCATCGCAATTGAGAGCTGATCCAGCTTTGGAGTAGGACTGCGGACTCTTTAGTAGGTATAGAGTGATTCTGCTGACGTGATAATATGTGGCGAGCTATTGCTGTGGCTTCTTGCCGTCAGAAGTGGCTCGTATCGCTCATGTGCTTAATCCGCTAACTGTCGTCTACTTTAAGTCTAAGTGAAATAGGCCACTATCCTTACCTATATCACTGAAGGAAAAGAGGTTTAGACAGTTAATGTTTTTACCCTTTGATCCGCCTATTAAGAGGGTCTCTGGTGACACTGAGGAGAGGAGGCTAGCCGATGACTTGCTCAAGAATAATGGAGACCCTCACTTCGTACCTAGCTTCGGTTGGTGCCTTCCGACTGCCGGCTTAAGGTTCGAAAGACAATGAACACATTTGGATAGATGCACCAAACCAGCCTTAATGTTGTTCGTGTTTTGGGTCTTTTTGTCCTCCCCCCTCCCGTTTACCTTCCCCCTCTATCCATGATCTTGTACTCTATATATAACATGATACTTAGCATTATATTTCTTGTCATTTTATTGAAAAGTTTGTACTCTGTACCGTTTCCAATCTCGCTTTTTTCACGTAATCTTGTTGTATGTCCTCACATTAACTGAGGTGCCTCTCACTTTCAGCTATCGTGCAATGATGTTGACTGGTTGCACATGGAGCATACCACTCAGCACAGTGCACTAAATCACCAAGTGACCGTCACAGCTATTTGGAGTTTCTTCCCCCTATATATATTCATTTAACCTTGTGACTCATAGGGCCTTCGAATACGCTCAACGACACAGGGTTTACATTGCTTATCCTCCATCCCTCTTATCTAACGCCGCACCATCCTTTTCTTTTCATTCTCCTATTGTTCGGTTTTTCGGTCATTTGTTTCTTGAACTCAACATGTGGATTTAATACTTCTGTCACTGAAGCGTTTAGCAGCTGACATTCGTTAAAATACAGTCCATTCCTTTTGCATCTGTGCTCCATTTGCCTCGCTTTGTGACGTGCTCCTCCAAACTTGTCCAATTTACAACAGTTAACAAGCTTTTTCACTGAAATCCCCCTCAATTCTTTGTGCTTATACAACCACTTTCCCCTGTTGTTCCTTACGAAGTCAACTGGAACGTGCTTGCCACACTGCAGCAGCCACCATCCATCGGTTGATCGAATCCAAAACTTTAAATGAACAGCGGATCTCCTCTCTAAAAGTCACTATAAATGGGACTCTTGCAGCAACAAGGCGCCTGTCCACGCGTGTGAAGCGCTTGGAAAATGTGAGTCCAATCTTTTTGTTCTGCCATTGTCACAACTCCGTTTTCCGTAAGTGCTCACCTCCGGGGACCTTCGGGAATAGCTTTTGTGCATGGTATACTTACTTGTTTTCTTCCAGTGAACGAATGCCGCTTGTGGAATCTTGTCCAAAGATTTTACCGGAATTAGTGCCTACCTACCAGTGGCGTAGTAACGAGGTTTGCTGCCCGGGGCCGTCGTAAAATCTTCGCCCCCCACCGCTGGCACTTCTAAATCCGTAAACCCTCGCCATTACTAACAACTCTTCAATGTTTCGCTTCATAGAACAACAAATAAAATCTAATTTCAGTGTGTTGCCCTAAGTGTAAGCATCTGTATTGCTACAATACTCGTGTACGTAATCTACAAACACACTTATCCTGCTTTAGCCGCGGAAAAGACATCAATAGCATCATCGAAATTCAATCCATCAGCAAGTTCCCTCACTATGGCGAAAACTGCCAAGTTAGTGAACCACGTCTGGTTGATTGATGATCATAGGTAGTTCTCTATAAGTATGAGTTTTGAGAATACTCACTCACAGCTGGTAATACTAATAGGTCGGGTAAGAGAGGTGCGCAGCAAGACCACAACATTCGGTGCAGATTGCCCAAGGTGATATTTCCGTATGAACCTCAGAAGTTCATAGGGTTCATTGACTTTGTTGTTTCCTGTGACTTTTACAATATAGTGACATCTTCTCCTGTTGGTAAAGACTACCTCTTTTTCTGCGTCTTCCTCAATTTCCCTAAACGGACAACCATATATATTATCAAGCGGATTTGACGTGTAAGGTAAGCATAATCATTTGTAAGATGATACATTTGCTGTGGTCTACGACACATTTCATCAGTCAATCTGCCTAGGAGGAGAAAGCACTTCCTGTTTCAACTCGGCATCATAGTCTATCGATGTGTCAAACGATTCTTCACCATCTATTTGGTTCTTTTGGCGGATTCAACGCTTCATTCTCACTCCAAATCATAGCAGTTTTTTTATTCATCCATTGCAATGTCCAACATCTTCTCACTATCCTGATGAAGGCGAACTCTTAAGGCTGGGAACTTGACAGAATTTCGCTGCCGATCCAGCCCTTTTGTTTGAAGATAATTCTGTGCATCGTTGATTTCTGGGAGGACAGATCTCCAAACGCTCAGGAACGAAGTACGCGGAAACGACATTATCCGCATGAACATTACCGATACATATAATCTTGTGCTTTTATTTTCTCCCCATCCTATGAGCTGTTCCAGAGCAATAACGCTTTCCGAGTATTTCTCCACCGCGACATTTACAGCCTCTGCTCCATCTAGTTTTCACGGCCCATCTTTTACCTACACCGGTACTTTGAATCAAGACGTTCCAACGATATGTAGATGTAGAGAAGAACGGTAATAGTTGGTCTGTTGTATCGAAGGATATAACAGAATGTACCGTCACAGATACTGCAGGTACACAAGCCAGATTCAGCGCATGGTTTGTCACCATCATCATCATTATACACGTTAGCTGCAGGTGGAAAACACCTCAGCTGTTGTGCTGTAATACAAAGACAAGAATAGGAAAACAAACAGTGGCACGCCGGCTGAGTCCCTAGTAACGGATGGACATCGTTCCGGACAGCTAACAGCTAGCTATCGTGCCGTTATATTATGCCTAACAAGTGAGATCGTGATTGGAAGGGGATGCTAAGCAGGAGGAGGATGGACAAAGGAACTCACAACACAAACGCCATTGGGGCCGGCTCCAAGCCATATCAGCAAGTGTGTCCAACCAAACGTGTTCACCGCTTTTAGGACCCCAGCCTGGCAGTCGGGGTGCACCAACCGACGCCAGTTTCGAAGTGAGGGTTTTCATTTCTCTTGATCAAGTCATCGCTTGACCTCCTCTCCTCTTCTTTCCAACCGCACCCCCGGCGCGCAAACAATGCACGTCGCGGAAGTCGGTGTGCTGGCATGCGCAACACGTGGCCCAATCATCGGAGCCTGGTACGTGATATAATGGTGCTGAGTGGTTCATTCGCTATTCCTGCACCAAATACGCCGAACACGCTCATTGCTGACATTGCACAAATGTAACATTTGGGTTGATTTCGCAGATGCGTCCCTGGACACCCCATCAGTAGTCGACCATAATAGCATCATTCTCAAATACCTAGCCAAAGTAGCCATCGGTCGGAATTCCATTCTTCTCCAGCACCCTCAAACTCACTTTTGCTTTTAATCTCATTGAAGCGGAGAAACAGCTTCTCAACCTTTACTTACTCCTCATCCATTTTTACGTAGCGCAACAACTCATTCATCTGATTTTGTGAGATACTTAGGGAATATTATCGACTGAGCGGACAGATTACGAAGGCAACAATCAGCAAGCGAGATTATACAGGCGCTTCTGTTGGGTCATAGAACCATTTACGATGAATTGGCCGCTGTACGACGCCTTATGGGCGACAATGCATCACGCGTAACTGCAATGGGGGATGATATGGATCAGGACAATTGTGGACAAAGACGAGAAGAAGCGGACAACAGGCTGGTGTTCCAGGTGGTTCAAATTTGTTTTAGGCTGTTCAGAGCAATATTACAGTATTCAACTATCGGCTTATCTGAAAATGTTGCTGTTTCTACAATCGTCTGTACTAAAATGCCGCCCGGGGCGGACGGCCTTGCTATGCCTCTGCTACTTACCATTGTCAGCGGTCTCGTCGATGAAACCGTTCCACTCGAATCGACGATATAATCCGGCAACTGACAGTCTATGTCAGGTGTCACTACATGCATGCGTTCCAGGTGAATTCGGTTGTTTTGTTTGTTTCCTTAGAGATCGCAGCCATCTTGGTCGGTACAATCGCGGCGCCTCAATGGCTACTTCGCACTGGATACAAGAACTACTTCGCCTTTCTCGTCGCCGGCAATAGTCAAACGAGCTTATCGCTGTGTGTTCACCCCTGGCCCTTTTGAATCGTTAAATCTAATAATTTATCATGGCATATTTCCACCTTGTTTGCTTTTATTTACAGTTCGGCCACTTCTTTCCTGCTAGCTGTTGTCGTTGTGATCTTGTTTCTCTCCTCATGTTGCGCATAATCGTCATGGTTGTTCTCCCTCCGGCTAAAGTGTTCATCGCAGTCTGCCATCACTGCCCATACCGTGCGGTTAATGGAGATCGATTGTGTTCGACAGGCTGCCACCCATCGACTTGAATCGTGTTTTGTTGGAGCACCACGCAAATGATAGTACGCACCACCTCATGGTAGCAAACACGGTTAAAATGCGTCCTAGATTTGTTCAGTTGGGTTGCATATACGTGTATATCACCTCATACTGCGCTTTGCCTGCGTGAGAAGGATCAGAGTGATATGCACCTATCATTTGCTCAGCTTGAATGGGCGCAGTGGCCTTTACACTTTCATTTTCTCCCACTGCCGAGCGCCATAGACTGCATTTTGTGTTTAGAGGCAGACAATGTAATTTTTATGGACAATTCATCCTTGTTTGTCTGCAGTTGGTATTTATTTCGCCCGGAAAAGGTAGCCGATTTGTCTTAATGTGACTAATCAGTAGTACTCCATCCCCCGGCGCCATCATGAACTGAATCCATATCATCTCCATGCCAGAGACTTATGCCACTAGGTCAATGGGCCATAACAGTTTCTTATTGCTACGTCACGCATAGCTGCTGCACGGGAAGCCGTGGCTCTAGGGGTCAGCATCGTAATTTGCGTTGCGGCGGAGGATAAATAAGTGTATATTCCTCGACGATGCAAGAAGCTGTTCCCGAGAATGGACAGATCAAAAAGTGTTACGACCATTACATCTAATAAATAAATAAATAAAAATGAGCACCTGTTTCATGTTTATATGAGTAACACGAAGTAATCCGAACTGTTTGCTGGTTTTTTGACCTGTCGATGGACCAGTTTTTTCAAACGCATAACATAGTGGGCCGGGACGATTACGAAACGAAAGAGCCTGTGTGCTAAAATGTAGCCCGAACACGTTATTCGTACTTTTTTCAGGCACCATCGATACCTTTCTCGAAATCATTATCCAAGGATTGTGAATTCTCAGAATTAGTTACCATATTTCGAACTGTCAACAGCTCATTAATCGCACGCTTGTATTTATACAGTGTACAGTTTCTTCGGTCATCTTTTGGTAGCCTGTCCCAAATCTTTTAGTACTGGCTCAGCTGTAACGTTCTCTGATTTTCGTGGATAACTTTGTCTCCTTATTGCATATCGGGTATCCAATGTTCTGAGACATGTACATCGTTATTAGAGCTGTACGCATGATGGTTTATGAATCGGTAAATGTTAGATGAGCGATAAAGTGCAGGTATACTTATGTACACGTTCATAACTATAGAACTTCGAACAGGTTCAGTTGTATCCTCCGAAGCTAGACTTAGTCAAGTCCAAGCTTATCGCAGCGCTCTCTGTATGTCATCTTTGAGGAATAACCGCATAGCTTTCTCGTAAAGCGTCGCTGGTGGCTCTCAAGAGCATGCTGGTCAGCCTTTTACAGATTCGATTGGACCCATGTATTTATATATATATTTATTCACAGTCTGTTAACAGACATTGTGCCATCAGAACCATGGCAGAAGAAAAAGGTGAAGAAGATGGGGACACTAATGCGATTAAAAAAATATGGGAAACGAATTTTTTTGGTTTTACACACGCCATTTTGTATTTTTTGTTTTGTGAGTTTTTGTGTGTATCAAAGGGATGGTGAAATTGCGGAACAACATTGCCGCCACTGATGTCTGTTGCGGGCCATGACCTCCAATGTTTCCAACCACTGCAATTCAGCATCTCGTGGTCCCCAACCTGGAAGGCGGACTGGTCCCACTGCTGCCAAACTTGAGGTCGCCTTCTTCATACTCCTTCTCCACGTCATCGGCTGTCCACCGCGGCACTTTTTCCAATCGCTCCCTGGGAGTGCAAATAGCGCTCGACGTGGAAGGCGATGGGCTGGCATGC